CTGCAGAAGACCTTCAGATGCGAGAGCGCACAAGGCCAATCCCAGATCAGTACCATGACCTTAGGCAAGCGTGAAGAAACTGCATCACTTCTATCATAGGGCAGGGAATTTTTTTCTCAAATTTGCAAGAGAAGCTTCTAGAATCTCTTCAAATTTGCAAGAGAAGCTTCTAGACTTCTCCATCTTCTTTTTTCCTTTCTTTCCATGGTTGCTTTATACAATGCACACATACACAGGCAATAATATGTTGGCAGCTTTGGCTTGTGTGAAACTGGAAAGGGCGTGTCTCACTTCAGGCAGTTAGCAGCTGGGACATTTCATCTTGGCGTCTCAGGATTACACGCAAAAGTCCCCAGGTCTGCTCCCTAATATCCCCAGGCAGTGGTGAGAGACTTCTGTCTGAAATCCTTAAAAGCCTGTGAACTATTTTGAATTAGATGAACCAATGCCCTGGCCTGATACAAGAAAGCATTGCATGCTCTGGTGTTCTTCTGGCAGGTTGGGGAAGATGTGCGCCTGCTACACTATTGAAAACAACAAAAAAGGCAGGACATGTGCTTGAGGATAGAAGAAAGGAGATGGTGTGGGTTCTAGCAAGGAGTCCAAATGGGATAAAATGTGGCGTGTATGTGTGTGTGTGTGTGTGTGTATGTAGCATGCACATGCACCTATGTATATGACCCTTGTAACTGAAAAGGTGGCCCACTCTTGTTCTAGAACTTGAGCAACCTGGTATTTAATGGGCACAAATGTACCAGGGAGGTCTTCTGCACAAGCCCTACCAAAATGAAAAGGGGCTGGACAATAGCATGACATTCTCAAATTATTCTTCCCCTGCTTCATCTTTCCCACTCTTCTGATCTCCATAGAACCACACATTCACTGCTCAGCTTCTCCATCTCTGAATTTATGGAATTCACCATCACATATGTGCTAACCATTCACTTTTTGGAAGTATCCAAGCACCCAAATATTAAGTCAGAACTATCTCACAGCCTTTTCAAAAGAAGCTGCTGGAGGAGCTGATGCAACAGTCTCTCCACCCCACCTCCCAACCATCTCATAGCTGATTGAAACAAAGAATGCCTTTGCTCACCAAAGATGCTTAATTGCCCAGGGAAAATTAGTAGAGAAAGTTTCACAAGGATAGAGTTGCTGACTCAGTGCAATAACTGTCATTCGTGTGGGCCCTGTTATTCCATTGCAAGGCTCTGGTTGGGCTGAATACAACATATGGAGAAAATAAATGACCATTGGTGTGGCAGCTGAATCAGTAACCATCAACTCTTAGGTGCAGGAGAGGGATCTGAAGGAATCTACAAGCACTGTTGGTGTGGAAGATGCACCTTCCACTTATTAATTTAAATATTATCCTTAAGGGTCTGGGTGGAGCCCTGCTAGTCCTCCTTCTGAAGTCAATCTCTTCTCAATTTAATGAGGTAGATCTTGAGTTTATTCATAAACTGGGAAAGCAGAGGATAAAAAGAGAGAGAGAGAGATTGCTGAAGGGCTGCCCTACAAATATAGATCCAAATTCAGATTTCTCAACTGCATGTATATTGCTGGACCTGGAAATGATGTTCTTATCTGGCTTCTGCTTTTCCTGTTCAATTGCAAATATTAAAACAATGTCTCCCCTCCCACGGTGTTCCAGATAAGATAAGCTTCACCTGCTATCATCTTCTTTCCCTCCCTGTGTCAGCTGGTTTACACATTGTTCTAAGCCAGCTATGGGCAACATCTTGATGGACAGGAATTACACATACTGTTTGAGGCACGGGAAGGGCAACAGTTGGCAAGTAGGGAGGCAGAGTGGGCAGGACCCAGTCTGCATGAGAACAGAGTGAGATTTTCCATTTCTTGCTCCTGGCTGTGGGAGCAGTTTGGTTTCATTCCAGGGGCACCTGCAGGGTATGGCCACAAAGTCAAGGGCAGCTGTTGGGGTGATCACAGTCAAGAGGGCAGCTGTTGGAGCAGCTGTTGGGGCAGTCAAAGTCAAGAGGGCAGCTGTTGGGGCGATCAAAGCTCTGCCGGCTTTTTTACATGTGGTGCATGGTCACAAAACAAATGGAGCTTCAATTGTGCTGTTGGGGCTGCCATCTTGACTTTTTGGACCACACCCTGTGAACATCCCTGGGAACTGGGGTAACGGAAAGCCCCCGCCCTTTGGGACATCTTGCCCCCAGAGGTGAGATAGGCCCC